GAGAGATCTCCGGCGGGGGCGCCCCGCCGACAAGGCACTCCACGGCCGACCGGAGCGGATGCTCCGGCTGCTCAGAAGGTTCTCTTCACTTCCACCAGGAGCTTGTCCGTTTCCTTCCAGGGCGAGTCGTTCCCGATCCAGGTCAGAGCCACGAAACCGCCGCCGTCGCAGAGCTTCCGGAAGAGCACGCCGGAGAGGAGGAAGGTCGCGACGACGCCGACGCCGACGCCGACGCCGGCGAGAGTCTCGGGAAACGGTAATTCGTTTCACGCCGAGAATGTGAGGTCGCTGGATCGGCACCGGTGGCCGGGGAAATTGCAGCAACAAGCGAATTGCGTGAACCGAAGCTTGGAGTGCGCTGATTCCACCGTTACGAAGCAAACGGACGCGCCGGCGAGCGTTGATAGGTCGTTGCAGAATCCGATGGCGTGTGTTCGCGGTTCTCACGACGCGACGCTGAGATCAGAGAGCTGCAAAATTAACGGATCTGAGTTTTACGAGCCCGAGCCTGTTCCTTCGGATAACGAAAGCGTGACTTCTGGAAGTTCCTCTGGAGAAGGACATGTGCTACGCGGTTCTCGAGGAATCGTGGTGCCGGCAAGGTTCTGGCAGGAGCATAATAATCGGTTACGACGCCAATCGGATACTCCGTCTTCTAGAATTGGAAATAAAGCAGCGGTTTCTACTCCTAGTCCTAGTCCAAGGCTTCTGGTGCCGAAGAAGTTACCGTTGGATTGTCCTGTTTCGTCTCCGCGAGGAGTTGTGAATGGCCGTATTCAAGGTTCTCCGATTCGCTCCGCAGTGCGTCCTGCTTCTCCGAGTAAGCTAGCGACGTCGGCTTCGGTGTGGTCTCCTTCGAGAGGATTGAGTCCCTCACGAGCGCAATACGGCGTGAGTAGTAGGTTCAGTAGTGAACCTTCTGTTTTGAGTTTTGCTGTTGATGTTCCGAGGGGGAAGGTAGGGGAGAATCGGATTGTCCATGCGCATTTGTTGAGACTCTTCCATAACAGGCTCCTTCAGTGGCGTTTTGTTAACGCTAGAGCCAATGCCGCCCTCTCTGCGCAGAAATTGAACGCGGAGGTATTATTTTTTTTTTATATTATTATTATTATTATTATTACTATTTTGTCTTGAAATTGAATTACAATGATAAAAATCTGCATACCATGAAGCAAGTGTGTCGTATTGCACTGAAGTCAGCGTTCCTACAAGGAAAGATAGAAAGCATTTTCTTATTTGTTGTATTTTTTTCCTAAATATTATTTCATTGTATCAGAAAAGCCTCTATGATGCATGGGTAGCTACATCAAAACTACGAGAATCTGTTAGAGCCAAAAGAACAGAGGTTCAGTTGCTGAAACAACAGTTTAAGCTAATATCCATCTTGAAGGGCCAAGTAAGATATACAGCTTCTCCTTCTAAATTTACCTACTGGTGTATGTTTAGACTTTAGATTTTGAAGATTTGCCATTTTTCTAGTAATTTGATTGTCATGTCATTCCGTTACCCGAATTTAAATTATAAGTTAAAATTATAAAACAACCCATTGTAACTTATTTTTATTATTTTTGGATTTAGAAATATTGACTGTGTTCAGCTTTCACAGTAAGTTCTTAATGGAAACTATTTATACAGATGGTGTATTTGGAAGATTGGGCTACTTTGGATCGGGTGTACTCCAGTTCACTTTCAGGAGCTATTGAAGCCCTGAGGGCTAGCACTCTTCGTCTTCCTGTTGTTGGTGGGGCCAAGGTATTTTCCTTTTAGCTTTTTGTTTATTCTTTTATTAATTATCTAATAATTGATAGCGAGTGACAGCAATTTAGGTACTCCTTATTTGGGACTAATATGAAGAGCTCTGTTTCTTGCTACAGACAGATTTGCTAAATTTGAAGGATGCAATTTGTTCAGCGATGGATGTGATGCAGGCAATGGCATCCTCCATATGCTTATTGTCGCCAAAGGTACATGTTTCTTTTGCCCAACCTGATGTCACGGATGTTGAACTCAATTATATTTGTGATGAACTAATGGTATACACGTATTATTTTGTTTTTCTTAATACTTTTTTTAGTGGCTTTATATCCTTTGGGCTATATTAGTACGATTATGATAAAAAAAAAAAATCAACCGAGTTATATACTGCAAGTCTAGTCTAGCCAAGTGATCTGAAGAGAAAAGTTTAGAAGGTTTGACGTTTGTATATAAGAGCATAGTAATCATTGCATGCATGTCTTGCATCTTAAAATTTCCCAGCTATCTATAGTGCTTATGATTGCATAATCCATACTGAAAATCTTTAGTTGTTCTGTCGGACCAATGAATTTTAACTGCCAACGGCCTATAATACATTGTGGAAAGTTATCTCGTTAATGTTTTACCATACGCCACATGGTTATACCAAGATTGACAATGCCTTAAATTTGAGCAATTGCAAATACAAAACCGGCTCAGGTTTCATGGAACCTAAAATGTAGGCAATTGCCATTTCAAAACCTGTACTAAGAGTATCAACCCTCAAATTGACTGGTTAATGTGAGTGAATCCATGCAGTTATGAACCATTTGAATAAGAATCCATTTTCTGAAAGATCCTAACTTTTTTATACTTGGTGGGTCTTTAAGATCCTTTCATTGACCTACATTGCGTTCACGGGGTGACTATGATCCAATGGATTGCATAAATTGCAGCAACAAAACTGGGGATAGTATGCAGAGGAGACGGTTCTGTTTCTATTTTATTAATTTTTATTAGTGTTAAATTCGGTAAATGTAATTAGATGATAATGTTACAAACTTCTTAATTCTTAATTTATAAGTGCTTTTGAATAAATTCCTAGTGAAGTCAAGTTAGATATTTGATGTGATGCAGAGTGAACAACTGTATTTTACAAGTTTCAGTCCAATACACTATAAGAAACCACTGTTTTGTTATGCTGTTCACCGTTGTTCTGTCTTTGCTTTTAGCCTATCTATTTATTTATCTACTTTTATATTGAGAGAGTGGCTATGTCATGCTGCCAAGAACAAAGTGGTAATAGATGCGATGGAGAAAAATGAGAAAAGTAGTGAATATCACAGTGGTGAAGTGAATGTAAATACGAAATGAGAAATGCCATATCCACAACAAATTTTACAATGAAGAGAGAAAAAGAGAAAATAGAGAGGTGTGAGATGCAATAAATGATGTGAGTAACAAATCTTTTAAATCCCATGTTTTGTGTATGTACAAACATTTGAAGTAGGTAAGTTTTGGGGATATTTTGTGGAAAAAAAAATAAAGATGAATGAAATTGTTTCCTATCCTCTTCATTGAGCTATTAAACAATTCCCCTTTACGGCTTCCATCTTCTCGAGTCTTTCCACATGTTATTCTTCAATTTGGCAAAGGGACCAATATATTTAAAATTGTAGTTTAAAAATGCAGAATTTACTGAATAATAATAAGGTATTAATTTGGGTGCAAAACATTATTACATCTAGCAATTTGATTAGTAAATTATTGGCATTCATTTTTTCTCATTTTATTCCTCAATTGTACGAAGAGATATATCTATCATGGTAGGTTACTAGGTTTCGGATGCCAAGAGTGAATTGAGTGGTATGATTGAAATGTTGAGTATATAGGGCTCTATTTTGGAGGAAAACAACTTAAATACAGTAATCTAATGATTTGAAATATTGGCTTGATACAGAGACAGATTTTATTGTGCCTAGTTTTTCTTCTCTTGTTGTGTGCCCTCCCTCGTCAATCCATGTTAGTGAAAAAGCATGGAGGAATTCAGTGATAATTAATATTTGGACCATTTAAAATACTAGTAGAGCATATTTTTTATTTCAATTATTTGTATCACTAAAAGCTTGTGAAAGTAAAATAAGGGGACGGAAATGGGGAACATGGGATCCTATTTAAGTTCAATATTTCAAAATTAGGTCAGGAAACCAGAAGACCATTTGCCTTTAAATTAAATTTTAAACGAGTGTGGCTGATATTCTTTAATCACTTCATTTGTAGGTTTATATTATATTCGCTGATGATGCTTTGGTGTGAAAAAGGACAGATAATTGATTTCTTTCGGCTACCTCATTGAAATCATTTTTACTCGCATGCATTTAAAAACTTTCTGCCCACATGTATTTTTTTTCCTTTGTCATCTAACTTTATTTGCTTCACACCACATATGTCCACTTTATTTTGTTAATTTATATGAAGGTGATTAACAGAATAATATAATTGCGGCAGTGTAATTCACCTGTACATGACACATAAATGTATATTTTGATATCGAGCAAAAGTAGTTGTTTTTGGCCAGAATTATGTAGCATTTGGCGTGTCAATGTCTCTAATCATTTCCAATTGATAGGTTGGACAATTAAATTCTCTGGTTGTTGAAAATGCCAACTTAAGTGCGAAGGAGCGCGTCTTGCTTGAAGAGTGCAGAGACCTTTTGTCAGTGATTACAACCTTTCAGGTAAATTTTCTATCCGGGACAGATGTGTTGAAGCTTAAAGTACTATTAATTTTCCTTGATGATTGTTAAATGAAGTTGCTGTTATGGCTACAAACCTGCTAATAAAACTTTTTCTTGAGCAGGTTAGAGAGTATAGCCTGAGAGCGCATATTGCTCAACTGAAATGCTTACCCAGAAGTACAACAGTGAAAATAATAAGCAAATAATTGTCTGACCTGCCTACTTTCAGTGCTACTAACATCATAACAAAATAGTGGTTATTTTCGCCCTGAATTCAATACACGAAACCGTCATTAATGATTGAGAAAAACTAGTTAGTATGAAAAACAAAACAAACTACAAATAGCACGAATATTACGTGGAGAAATTTTGTTGGGTATTGGTTTTTACTTTCACCAACTAGCGTGTTTGGTCTTATTGTACAAAGAAATTCGTAACAAGTAGTTGCACTCTTATTAATTACATCTTAAGAGTGAGGATTGGAATTTGTCGTTCGGGAGTTAGTTTGTATACAAATTTTTCTAAGAAAAAATCCTTGCCCATTTGTCTTTTTATCTTGTGTCAAGGGATGTATATAAACTGTGTAGCATTTCATATTTTAGTTGATTTTCTTTTGTTGTATTGGTATGTTTGTAATAGCTTATGGAAAAAAGATGTAGTCAAAACGTGGATACGATTTGTTGTATTCCCCTCCCCCTTTAAAATGATTGAAATTACGCTTGCTTTGTGTTCTGACATCCTCGTCATTTAAAATTAGGCAACAAATTTAGCAATCATTTTACTAAACAAAGTTTTATTGTTAGACTTGTATTTTTCTAAGCCTTGATCAACTTGTTTATCGACTTATTGTTGTATATTTCATTAATTTGGTAAAGATTAACACTTGAATTTTCATTTTTTTTATTTGCACGCATTAAATTTAGTGATTAATCAGTTGTTGAACAAATTTAAGTAGAGACATACCCGACAACCTGATTAATACTGATGTGGTCCAAAACTGCTTGTTCATAATGAGGTGAACAAGGTTGCCTAAAATTTTAAATGAACCTGGACTTGTTTCACGTAAGTTCGTGGGTTCTTGGATTGATCTGTCATCCTGTGGCTATTTCTGGCCCTTCGTTAATGTTATTTATTTATAGCTGATTTATTGTTGTATCCGTTAGGGTTGTTTTCGGTCTTTTCCCTTGGTTACTATTTTAGTCAACATGCGTACGTATTTGGACCATTAGAATTATATTTGTTTTTTTTTTTTCGATGAAGTTATGAAAAAACGAAGTTGAAATCATTTTTAAAAAGCTTAATTATGTTTGTATTTTCTAAATTACTCATTTTTTTGGTCTCTAGAAATATTGTGTCTTATTTGAACCATATATTTAATGTGTTATTAATTGAATTATTTCTTTTGGAGAGAAGATTTAGTTATTTTTAGAGATTATAATTTGTTTCAATATAAATAATTTTTAATCTTAGTTCTTGTTTTCCTAACTAGATTATAGTTGTTTTTCTATTTCCCCAAATGAGTAAGACTTAAGTAAAATGTTGTTTAGGCCATTAATTATTGTTTTTAGTTAAATTTTGTTTTCGCGTTTCATTCCTTATAGTTTTCTTACAAATAAAATTATCTATTATTAATGGTTTTATATCATTTTCGTAATTATAACCAAATTTATTATTTTAAATGATTTAAATAAAAGAAATTCTTAAAAATACTTCTTACCTATCACATCAAAATATAAGTCTTGCTTATTATAATTAAATTTAGCTATAATTGATAATTAAAATATTTTCAAAAAAATTAATTTGAATACACATTTTTTTTAAATTCTTACTTTTGACGGCCCCTCCCTATTATATATTATATAAGTAGTGCTTAAAATAATAAAATTATTAAAATAATTTTCAAAGTGTTGAACATCTACTATCACTTCAGTCTCCAAGTTGATTTAATTTAGTAAAGTTTAGAGAACAATTTAAAGGGTTTATTCATATTTGAGGATTTCTTAACATGATTTCCAATATTTTTATATCTACTTAAACAAATTTATCTGTATTTGTATTTTTTACTTTAGAACTACCAAGAATGAAATTGGTAGTTTAATGTTAAAAATAGTGATGTATTTACAACAATTTTTGACAAACTTTCTTTCTAAAACTTTTTTTTCTTTATAATAATATTATATCATTTTCCATAACATTGTTTTTTTTTCCTATCTTTTTCCTAAATTTTAAAATCAGTTGTATAAAGTAATGGTTAGAAAAAGGTAAAATATGTTATAATAATTATCTTATCTGATTATAATTTGTTGTTTATTGAGTTAATAGGATATGATAATTTTAACCAATCTCTTATTTTATCGCATTGGTCTAATTCATTTTTTATCCTTAGGGAGGGGTTAGGTTAGGAACCAATGTGATAGGATATGTTCATGGAAAGAAGAATTATGATCGATTTTGACAAATGCATTATCATTCCGTATGGTTGAAAATTCATAATGTGCAACAATAATGGAAGAATATAGAATAGAGAACAAATTATTGAATGCCACAATTCGAGCGTATCAATAAGTCAATGAAGATTCGTCACAAAGGCTTATCATTGAATAAGTACCAAGTTCTTTGATAAGAGCTAAGAGAAGAATCTCTTAAGAGATACCAATTTTATATTTTTGAATTTCAAAAGTGTCTACAACAATTCATATTAGCCTATTTATATATTGGCTCATGAAATAATGTACTAAGCACTCTAAAAAGGCCCCAAAAACATTTATTTTGTAAAATAATTCAAAAACGTAACTAACTTTATGTCAGAATTGCTCAATAGTCATGTTTGGTTGGCTAGTGGTCAATTTGGTCACCCAACAATTGTAAGAAGAGTTGTTCTCGACACAAAACTTGCCTAGTGGTTAGTTTGGTCGACCAATGAGTTTTAGAGACTAATTTTCCAGCATAAATTCGTCTCTACTTTCCTAAAAGAACTAGTAATGAAATTTTTTGTCTCTAATTTTGCTTATATTCTCCTAACAAAATTATTCCTACCAATTCAAAATTATTTACAAGAACCATAGTGTCAAAATATATTATAATTGATGACTCTAAGTTAGGAGCCTCCCTTCTATCCCTTCTAGGGATTCTTGAAATACATTGAGCCTTTTTGAAATATGTTTCTCTAGTTTTTAGCTTCTTGTCCTTGTTATGGGTCCTTTCAAGTGATGTATCATCTTCAAGTTCCTATTGATCTTACTAATTTTCATGCCTCTGCATATTTATTTTTGAGGAGGTTTTGAGAGAAAATGGTTGTAGAAAAATATATATTAAGATTTAAAAATAGAGAATCTTATAGGATATCTTTTATTATTATTATAGAGTGATTAATTTTAAAATTTATAAAGCGGTTAATATAAATTTAGGAGTAGAGGTGTCTAATAAAAAAGTACAAACCGAAAAGGTAGAGAATCTTATAGGATATCTTTTATTATTATTATAGAGTGATTAATTTTAAAATTTATAAAGCGGTTAATATAAATTTAGGAGTAGAGGTGTCTAATAAAAAAGTACAAACCGAAAAGGTAGAGAATCTTATAGGATATCTTTTATTATTATTATAGAGTGATTAATTTTAAAATTTATAAAGCGGTTAATATAAATTTAGGAGTAGAGGTGTCTAATAAAAAAGTACAAACCGAAAAGGTAGTTAGAAAATGATGTCCCTATTGTAATAGGTATAAATATAATATTTTAAGATAAGTAATTACATGAATAAAAAATTATTTTGTATAATTTAATAAAATTATAATTTTTTTAATTTTCATATTTGTAAAATTAAAAGTTAATTTTTAGAAAAGTAGATGTAACTTTTTCATGTAAGCATAATTTATAACCTTAAATGCATTTTTGGTCTTTCGAGTATTGAAGTTCTGCAATTTTAGTCTTTCAAATTTAAATTATCTTAAATATTGTAATTGTGCGATTTTATTACCTCAATTTTTAGTTAAGTAATTTTAGTCTTTCTAATACCGCAATGTGTGATTTTAGTGATTTTTATTAAAAATATAATAATTTGTGTTGATGTGACACTAATGTGTATCATGATGTATTGTACTTCTATGTAAATTTCTTTAATATATCTATTTTATCAAATATACTAATAGTATATATAAATTTTATTTATTTAGTAATAATATATACATAATTTGATGCATGAATGGAAATTATAATATTTAAGATAAATAAGTCAATAATTGTATAATTTTAAAATATTTTATATTAATATATTATATAATTTTAAATTATTAGATTTTTAAGAAAGAGACTAAAATCGTATAATTGTGAAACTCGAGGACTAGAATTGCTCAACTAAAATTTGGAGGACCAAAATTACACAACTACAATACTTAAGGGACTAAGATTACTTAATTAAAATTTTGAGGACAAAATTGTACAGCTACAATACTTGAGGATCAAATTGATATTAAGCCTAATTTATATCATATCCACATTGTTTAGTTTATGAAAAATACATATTTAGAGAACAATATTATTATCTAATTTGTCATTTGGTGTGCAATAAAACATTGAATAAATTAAAGATTATATTGTTTTTATCTTATTTTTTCTTATATTTTACTTTTATTTTATTATGATTATCAAATAGACCCTTAAAATTATGATAGACTAAAAAATATTGAAATAATTGTTTATCTCATCAAGTCAAATATTTGGGTCCTTGAAAATTAACTTGTTTTTTAAGTTTATACCTACTTAAAAAAATTTCTTATCCAATATTTTGAAACCTTTACAATCTTCCTTGTTATCATCAACACCCTCCTTTTTTCCCATTGCCAAAGTCACTCTCAAAACTACGTCAAAAGTTAAATGAAGTCATGTTGGTTCATGCATCTCGGAGACTTAACTATGAAAAAAATAAGAAGAAAAAAAATGAAATAAACTTCTCATAAGCTAAAATTGTTGTACCTATAAGCTAATTTAGAAGTTATCTTCTATTATTTATTCTATTGTATTTTTTTTTAACTTATACATGAGTTAGTTTTAATTTATGAAGATGTTTATTTATTTATTTTTCTTTTCTTTTTTCTTTCCTAATAGTACTTGTGAATTTTTTTTAATCTAAATATGCCTTGAATGTAACTAGTTGCATTAAGCTTGAGATAATAAGGTGTGCGATGCCCAAGTCAAGACATGATCCAGATAGAAAAACTAGGTCAACTTAGAGAGGAATAAGTACATGATTTGGGATCATATGATATTGACAATTCTCTACATAAAAAATAACTATTGTTTTGTTTAGTAGACATAACAAGTAAATCACTTGTCTCAATTTTCTGTCTCCAATCATTTCCCATCAATGAAGATATGGAGAAAAGATAAACACTAGAAGGGGTTGAATAGTATGTATAAAAACTTGCACACTTTTTTTTTGAAATGAGGTAGTATTTAATTAATCCTTAGAGCATGCCAAACTAAGTGTGCATACAGATCTTATGAGTTCTAGTCTTGGCATTTTAGAGCTAGATTAGAGCATACAAGAGAAATATTTATATATAGCATAAATGCTTGTTTTATCTTTTTTTTTATCATGCATATTAGAACATATTGGAGCATATCAGAACATACTTTTCTATCCTAAGTGTCAGAGCATATATAATCAGACCATATATGTCTACCTTAGGTGTTATATGCAATGAATAGGGGACTCCTCTTGAAAACGTGCATGATCTGACAAATATAACTTGCATAAATAAGAGGAAACATAATGTATACTAATCAAAGCATATTGTTTAGAATGTTGAAAATTTTAATACAAGCATTTAGAAAATAAAGAAAATCAAAGCAAAATAATCAAAAACTTAGTCATTCTCCCCCTTTTGGCATCAACAAAAACTAGTCCAAGACATTCTCCTTGTCAAAGCTCAAATTGATATTGAGGGGAGATAAAAACTTGTTGAATTTCCTTTCAATATGTGCTTGCCTCCTTAAAGTGTAGTGTAGAGTTTGGTAGAGGCTAACGATCATCTTATCGTGGTCCTCTTCAGTAGCGAGTAGAGGGAGGGGTGGAGTTGTTGGTGGTGAAGAAACAAGTCAAGCAGAAGGTCCCAATTGGTCTGGCAACCTGAACATTCTCCTATACAAAAAGATTATATTCCTAGATAAAAATATATATGAAAAGTAATGTCATATGGGGAGTAATATTTGTATAATTTTTTTCTGATAAAGAGAGTGTTGAATGAAGTAGGCTTGACCTTAGAAGGGAGAAAGTAGCCAATGAAGAAATGACCCTTGGACGGGGGAGGTCGTTTAGGCTTTTCACCAATAGGATAAAGAGGCTGGGAGGGATGGTGATGTGCATAGCATTCATGTCATTTGTCAAGCTTGTACCGAGGCATTTTTTGTTTGCCCTTATAGACACAGTGAATTGTAGGCTTGGAGATAGAATCTTGCGTGTAAAACTTCATTTAAGGCTGAATCATCCATGGTCTATATGGCTCACCAAGCATGAAGGAAAGGTTGTGAAAAGTGTCTTATGTGCTCAATTCAATTGCAACCATGAAGTTGAGTAAATTTTGCATTTCGCTTTGTTGCTGCTTGACAATCTGTATAGTCTAACCATCTAGCCAGGGAGGGTAGCCCAAGTTGATCTCCTCGGAATAGGCTACATCTTAGTAATGGGGTGAATTACAATGTTAGGTTCATTGTTGAGACACATCCCCTCATTCTCATAAAATTCAAAGAAAAAGGAGCATCTGTCACTACAAAAAAAATGTTAAATAGTGGAGGTTATTTTGTGGAGGTTTCAAAAACCTCCTTAATTTATTAAAAACTATATTTTTTTTATATTTAATTTGCAGAGGTTTATAACCTCTATTAATTAAATATTATTTTTCCAGTTTCTGCCTCTAAAAAAATTTTCCTCTAAAAAAATCCCAAAATCTAGAATTTCTCTCTTCAACTTTACAGCCTACCTCTCCAAAAAAAAAAAAAATTGATTTCCCTCCCTAAAAAATCACAAACCCCACAACTCCCCTCCCTAAAAAATCAAGAAACCCACGACTTCTCTCTACAAAGAAACCCTTCGAAACCCTTTAAGCACCATGACTTCCGCCGTGAATCAAGAAACCCGCGACTTCCCCCTCCAAAGAAACCCTTCGAAACCCCTTAAGCACTGTGACTTCCGCCGTAAATCAAGAAACCCATGGCTTCCCTCTCCAAAGAAACCCTTCGAAACCCCTTAAGCATCGTGACTTCCGCTGTAAATCAAGAAATCCACGGCTTCCCTCTCCAAAGAAACCCTTCGAAACCCCTTAAGCACCGTGACTTCCTCCAACGGCGATGACGGGTGAGAGTCGTTCTCCGGAACCTTAATGCTCGTGTATGCTTGTGAGTTGTCTCTTGCCCAACTTGATTTTTTTTCCTAGTGTTGTTTCCTGGTGTGGAAAACTGAATGCTATAGCTTGTGCTTCTGAAACGGGTGCAAGAATTCCAAGGTTAGTTTTATCCATTGATCATGTTTCCTGCCTGAAAAATCTTTGACTATGTCCTAAATGTTTCGTTTAAAATGCCTATTGGTTTGGATAACTGATAGTTGACGGAAAACATATTAGATTATTCTGAGGATCCATTGCATTTTATAATTTGTGAATAAATTCAAGATGATTTCTTAATGTTTCACAATTCAAATTTCCTTAATTGCTTTTATTCTATTATATATGTGATATGATGGTACTCAGACCAGAAGTAGCACTAGGAAAAGATGTTGTGGGATATAATATTTATCTATGTGACTGTCTCATGGAACTTTTTTATTTTTTTATTTTTTATTTTTTTACTTGTTTACGTAATAGTTTTCTTGCTCTTAACCAGTTTCTTCATTTGTTGGTACTCTGATCTATGTGTCGTTACTCAGAAGAAGGTTTCGGTGAGTCGTTACTCAGAAGAAGGTTCCGGTGAGTCTGAAAATTGGTTCTCTGATCATTCTTTTGGTTGTATTAATACTTGTGCTGGCTTCTTAAGTTTGGATTTTTGATGCAGGATAAGCTTTTGGACCAGACAAGTGTTTCACACCTCTTTCCCATCACAAAGTACCTTGGTTTATTGGCAACTGGCATGACTGGTATATTTCTCATTGCACCTCTTCACAATTTCTTTGCTGTAGATTTTTGTGAATTTATTTGCATTTTTTTAATTAAAATATACGTATGTTTTTTTGTTAAAGTTAAATCATGTGGAATTTCACTGATGATTTCTTCATTTTATTGTATCTCATTAAAATATAAATTACAGGTTTGAAAAATATGATATCATTATCAACCTAACCAATTGGTTAGTGAGGAGAAAATTAAGGAGGAGACTGTGATTATATGAGAATGATTATCATTCTCCTAGATTGTGACTTGTTGGAAATTGCTTAAGAGATCTGTTTTCAAGCCAAACCTCTGGTTCAGAATCACTTATTTATTTTTTGGTGTGATATTGTTCTATAAATCCGTGCAACCATATCATGAAATATCATTAATATTTATGATGAGAAAATAGTTCTATTAGACCTGAATGTTACTGTCAAAGTTGTGGCTAGGGCTAAATTGACTTATGGTCAGGCTCAGTAGATAGAGGCAATGGTAATATTGTTTTTCTGTAAAATGAACTTTGAAATATGAGCACATGTTTAGATTTCATCCAGAGAAAATGAATATTTATTTACATATATATGTAGAACTAAAATATCCTCAGTTTACAAATTCAACCTTTGCTTTATCCTCTTGGAATACCTCTTTCCAGCTGATGCTAGGACGCTGGTTCAACAAGCAAGAAATGAAGCAGCTGAGTTTCGCTTTACATATGGGTATGAGATGCTAGTGGACGTATTGGCTAAATGGTAAGTGGTTCAGTATTTTGCCACTGTAACTATTACTAGCTGGTTATTATTCTGTTTCATTTTGCTCTAAAATTATCATTAGTTTTTGGAGAAGAATGATGTCTGCACTTCTATATTTAATGTACTGGAACAGTACAACAATAGGTAATAGCCACATTGTTTTAACATGCTTCTGCATTTGTGGTGTGACTGGATGATTCTATTGTCTGTTGCTCCCGCCACCATATTAAATTGTAAATTGCACGTGTATGTATGTGTAGGTGTGTCAGCTCTAATGTCAAAGCCAATAAAAATTAATTTTTTAATTGGACACCTAATTAGAAGTGCCCTGAGTAGTGGTAATAGATTTTTCATGAACACTAACCGTGGGAGTATCACATCTAGCTTTCACACAAACTCTAGCCCTCTTTGTAAGGGGTGTTAGTTCTAAAATTTCATCACCTCAATCTTTGGTCCTTATTAATTTTTTAATTTATTTGTTGAATACATATATAATACATATATAATACAGTTGCTTTGGTTTATTCATTTTTCTAACTTTAAAAATTTGCTTCAAATTTTGTTCATGTGGAATTATTTTCCTTAACTATAGCGTCAAAATTTTACATTGATGTTATATATGTGTCCGCGTGCAACCATTCTGCCAAAGATGCATGATGCGTATAAATCATGATTATACATATGAGAAGATGTGTATATTAGTTAGCTAATTAATAACAATTAACTTAATTCTATAAACTCTGATTTCAAATGATTCCCTTTTAAGTTAGTATAAAAAGAAAGTTTATGCGCATGTGCTGTTGGTAATTATATAATGTTATTGCTCTATCCCATATATAGATGTCATCAATAACTATGTTATAATAATATGATGTGAAAATAGTCTTTTCAATAATTATGCTATATTCCAATAAATTATGAAAGCTTTTGCACATTAGAATCTGCATAATAAGATTTGATTCCTCTTATTATTTAGGCAATTAGTACAACGTGGCAATATATCATGAGGTTCTCAGATAAAAAGATAGATTCATTGTTATAATGTTAATTTGATTTTTGATTTCTCAGCTTTTGGATACATAGTAAAGATCAATTATCTTAATTTATCATCCTCATTGACTTATATTGTTGCATTTTCTAGACAGGATATTAAACTTGCTCTGTTTTGATATCAAATATTTATTTTAAATCATTTGGTTCTAATTATATCTTTGTTTTTTGGCAGCTCTGTTCCATTGATAGACTTATATTGTTGCATTTAGAGGTAATTTTTTATTGGGTGTTTAGAATTGTCATTATGATATAATATATGTGATATATAATTTTCTTAACTAAGTTATTTTGCTTTTATTATTTCAGCCAAACGATGCTTCAAGTGTTCCTAATACACCTTTGGATGCAAGAGGATCATCTGGTGCTAGCAACCCTTAGATTGCTTATGATGGAATCTTTGGGTTTAGATTGGCTATATCTAGGTGCATGATAAAACCATGCAACCTTTGCCCTCCACTTGGGCCTAAGCCTTTCTAACACCAAAAATAGACCCAATAACACCAAAAACATGCGTCACCCTTTAATTAACACCCTAGCCCAAAATTAAAACCCTAATCATCTAAAGCACCCCATAATACAAGGGTAAAAATGGGAAATACAAGAGAAAATAAATTCTAAGTCCTAAACACCCCAAAATACAAGGGTAAAATTGGAATAAGGCAATAAAATTCTATACTACTCAAATTGGGCCTAGGAGGTGGATCCATACATGGTATCTCTCCATTATCCTAGTCATGAACCATGTGATGGGTCTCACATTAAGTACCAAGGATGGTCCTCCATCATCCCCTCCCTCTTGAGAAGGATTTGACTTCAAATCTTTAAGCTCTTCCATTCCATTGATCCTTCAAAAGATGTGAAACCACAATTAGGGAAGTAAAAATACTAAAACTTAGCTATGCAATCCTTAAGTACACAATTTGTTGAATGAAAGTGTTAGGGAAAGGAGAGAGCCAAAGAGGCATCACCATTTTAAAAAAATTATTGACCCCATGTAATTCATTCACCAAATCATCTATTTTAGGGATTGGGTGCCTCTTATTCAATGATGGCTTTAAAAAAAAAGGTGTTCATCCTCCATTTCCATCTTTCTTTGGCACCAAAAGAATGAGGATGACACAAAGGTTAAGGTTCTCTTCAACCTAACCCTTCTTTTTCTTCAAAGGGAAAATTATTTTCTTTTCTTTTTCTTTTTGTTTTTGATTTTCTCTTCTTCATCTTTCTTAGCTTTTAGTTTGAGTTGGTCCTCATTCACTTGAGAGGGTGATAGAGAACACCACACAAACTTCTTACCTAAACCTCCACTATTTAGCTCATTTATTATAGTGTGTTAGATTCACAGATGGGAGGAGTCTAATCATTATCAATTGACATCTCCTTGATATTCAGGGTTTTGTATACCTTAGGCTTGTGAAAGGCTTCTATCTGGGAGCAAAAATGGATAATAAAGCATGTATTCTCTCAATAAATTTGAAGGGATGTGACATTCTCCTCACAGTTGAGACTTTGGGATAAATTCTTAATCTACCTACTGATAGTTTAGAATTATGGTTTGATTGGTAATAGACCTTACATGTCTTCCAGAGGAAGGTTATCAAGAAAATGTTGGAGGAAGGAGAAACTAATTTGAAGTCCTTAAACCTGAAATCCTTTGGTAGGATTATACACAACATGTGTTTACACATTCTCCTCCCTAGAGTAGGAACTTTTCAAGAGGCCACTAGTCAAGACCTTCTAATCATTTATTGCATGTGGAAACAAATCAGAGTCTGTCTTCCATACATGATTTTGCAGCATATGCTTAAGGCAACAAAGCCATCTAAGGTGACCACTTTTGTCCCTTATGGCATGCTTCTAACAAAAGTGTTTAAGCACTTCAAAGTGCCTCTCAATTATGAAAATATGGATTCTATGATTCCAGATTGTAATGCACACAACTTGCTTAAAATGAGGTTGAAGCCTCATCTAGAGATGGCTAGAAAGTGTAAATGTTTTGATGATGAGGAAAAGACAAAAAAGAAAGACAAGAAAAGAAAGCAGAAGAATGATGCCTCCACCATTGTTGCACCTGCTTCCTCTTCACCAAAGTTATCTGGAAGGATAGCTAATTGACTAAGATTAGGAAAAAGATTCAAAACTAAGGCTAGTGCCAACTTTGTTCCCTTTAAAAGATTTGTGTCTGCTTTCAAAGGTTCACCTTCTGAATAAGAAAAGTTGCCACTAAAGATGAGCCTGTTGATCATGGAAGCATTACCCATTATGTTGTCTCTATAAATGTTGAGCCTGATGTCTCAACTAGTGTCCCAATTGTTGTTGTTGCTAATTTACCTTTTGTTGCACCTTCAAAGGTTGCTTCCGATACACCTACCCCTACTTCAAAAGGAAAAAAATCCTCTTCAAAAGCAACTTTTTTTGATGTGATGGTCCTCCAAGTTCTTGCTTTCATTTCTAAATGTAATGATCCCATTGTAGAGTCAATGGTTGAAGAGACCCATTACAAGGTCAACCAAGAGGATGACAGTGACTCTCCCTTAAAAGAAGTCATCTCATGCTCCACTAGACCATCTGGTGATGTTTAGACCACTATTCAACGTGCTTCTAATACATTGATTGTTGATGTTCTGACTTAGCTCAAGTCATGTGGTATCAATTTTGAAGATCCATCTTTAATGGATTTTTCTGAAAAAGATGTTATTGTTGATGTCCATACTAAGAAATCTAAGGATGTCCCTTGTTCTTATCCACTAGTTCACTCCCTATCAAACCTACCACTCCTAATTTTGGTAAGGATTTAGTCTTTAACATTGAGAATTTAAATTTGTTTCTTCAATCACCCATTTTTGATACCTTAGCAAGACCTATATTTCTTCCTACACCAATAGAGAATTCATCTCTACTATCTTTGCCTTTTCCTTCTCTACATCCCACTACCTCTAAGGAATGAGGTCCATCCTTTGTCCGTTCTCAAGCCAAGACTAATATCGCTACTAGAGATTGTTGCTGCCCTTATCAACACCTACATTTGATGAGGATTTTTTTTGAAATTCTAGCCTGAAACCAAACCTGTAGTTGTTGATCTTGGCTCATTTTAATCAATGGAGAAAAGACTATCTAAAATGAGGAAATAGATTCGTCTTGAAAGGAAAGAACACAAGGTTATCTTGTCCAATTAAACAAAAATCTAACACAACATAAATGACTTTGCATGCTTGAGGTTATAAAAATAGATTCTTTCTTTGATGAGTCTATCAACTTATGATATCGACAACGAATAAATATGTACCAAGGTTGTAAACAATAATAAGTAGTTAAAGTAAATAATGGAGATAAGATAAGAGAAATTGCAAATAGAGATTTATCCTAGTTCACCCAACCTTGGGTTATGTCTAGTCCTCACACAGTAATACCCTCAACACCTATTAAGAATCTCACCCTCACAGCCTCTTGCTATGAGTAACCTCAAGCAACTTGTTGATAACTTTTCCCACCTTCCTAACCCTCTGAACACCAGATTTGGATAGGATAGGTAAATACATACTTAGGTTTTGAATCCTAGCAACTACTAAGATTTTCACTACACTTTCCTTGATTAGGAGCTTCCACTAACGAAGTATTCTTACTTTTTTTTCCTATCACAAGTATGTTTGCAAGTGTAGAAGATGAGATCTAAAAAAAATAGAGTATGAATCAAGTATAATAGCTAAGCTAGCTTGTATGTTGATGGCTTTCAATAATCTTACTTACTCCAAATAAATCCCTTGGTCTTCCTTTTATAGACTCCAAAATAGGTCCATTAGAGTTGGCTTAACTTTTAAGCAATGTTGACATCATCTTGTATTTTTATTTTGGTGCTATCTGCATATCCTTTAGGAGCAATTTGCTTCTGAAGCTTCCTTTTGAGAGTGCTTCTGATGGTACTTCTAAGTAACCTTCTTAATAAGTTCTTTAGTGCTAATTTTCTAAGAAGTTGAGCTTGAACTAAGACTTGCTACTTTAGAGGCTTTACCAGAGAGACTAAGAATCAGGATCTTCAAGGTATGTTCTCTAAGAGAAATTGTCCAACTTGAAACTCCTCAATACTTTAGTCTTGTGCACTTATAAGAACGACTTGCCCAAGGACATAAATTTCACAAAGACTCTTGTCTTTGCTTTTGAGTATTCTTCTAAGCTAAAACACTTATGTTGTATAATATTTTAAATCTAAAACACTTAAACGATTTTTTAGTAACTTTATGATTACTTTTCCGTAATTGTTACTTGGAACTAAGGGTTTGTCCTTATTAAAACATTTTTGTGGCAAAATTCAACATTTCTTACTTCAGATGACGATATCTAAAGTAAAATGCATGATCTTTATAGCCCGAAGCTACTCCATATGCTCCTCAGGGTTCTCCTTTAGGGTTTTCTTTGGAGGTTCTCTCAAAGCTTCAAAAACCTAAAATGCTATATAACATAAGCCCTTCTTCATCTCTCTTATTGATAAGCTAGACTCTAGGTTGAGCTTCTATAGTCCAAACTCAAAGACTAACCCAGTTACTCATTGTTTATCTTTATTTTATTTTAATTAAGAAAAATACCCATTATTTGTATTATAAAATCAAATTAATTAATTAACTAATTAATTCTATCTTAAAAATATTATTTAAATAATTTTATTTTATTATTTAAAAAATGAGGATATTCCAAGACTCACATGGAGAAGTTGAAACAAGGAGGAAGAAACGAAAGTAAAAATGTTGAAAGGAGGAGGGAGTGAGGAATGGCGGGGTCGGGAAAGGAAAAAAGTTTTAAAAAGAAAAAATTAATTTAAGTTACCTTTTTGTTCTTAAATATGAGAAACACATGAAAATATTATTTTGGTCCTAATTATAAGAATTAGAATCTACTTTTAAATGCATTAGTTAGTAATTTTATTTTATGCCTTTAATTTATTATGAGCTTGTTAGCAAGTCATGCTCTGATTTTTATGAAAATGAATGTATTTATTAGACTGGAAACATTATAAGTCACTCATTTATTAAGAAAATTATCCCCTAATTTATAAATAAAATCATTAAATATAACCATTATTTATACTATTTATTTCATGAATAAAACTTTAAATTAAAATATTATTAATTAAGTCTAACTAATTTCACAATTATCATTGAACTTGATGGATTAAGTATTTATATCTTAAATATAGAGCAAAGACATTATATAAAATTCTAAAAGGGTTGTAAAGTGTTAAAAGAGTAAAAAGCGGGTTTGCAAATAGCAACCCAGGTAGACTGGAGTCACTATCGGGTCTTGTGGTTGCCCTACTAGTCCAAGAAGTAGGCCCATTTCGATTTTCTTATATGCCCTCAACAATGATCTCTTCCATGGCTCTCATCTTCAGCCTTCAAATCATTCATGACTCA